TCACGAAAAGTTCACATGTCGACCATAAGCTTGCCTTCCACCCATAAAACTCGTCTATATTCACTACAATAGAATAGAAGACATGTTAAAACGTACTTTGAAATAAACAATGAACCACTCCACCAAAGCACAATATGTGACATACAAATTGCAGTTGACGACAAAAATTCTTAATACCGTCTATTGTCACAGCGATAAAGTAGCTGTGTCCAATATAAGACGATTAAATACAATGTGTAGGACACGCGAACAGTGCACGACATGGAACTGTTTCGACAGAAAGTTTTAATGACATAAGTGCCTATAACTGCAAATAAGTGCTCGGTTATTAATTTGCAAGAGTCAAGACGTTTGTGAAGGTAGAATCGTAGTATGGAACCGACATTTTGTGGTGATTATAAATTCCTGTTTTAAACTGTCATACACCAAGCGGTCACCGGTGACCGCAACCTATTGTTCTATAATAACGGTACTCGACGAGTTAAATTAATTATTATAACTTAACATAACATGCCTTTTATCCCCAAAGGGGTAGGCAGAAGTGCACATTATGCTACTGTATCTTCAATGTAACACCCACTTTTCACTATTTAAGTTATGAGTCCCATGTAATAGGGGGTGAGCCTATTGCCATATACCGGGCACAATTCACTGAGATTTTTTTTAAGCCCAGTAACACTTTGCCCGGCCACGTAATCGAACCCGAGACCCCTTGCCCGGCAGTTGCACTTGCGCCCACTCGGTCAACGAGGCAGGTGGTGCATTAATTATTATTTATTTATATATTTAAGTTTTACACAATTGCGTTAGAAGGACTTAATTCCAGTATTCTCTTCCAGTCATCCTTATTATGTTTCCAGCTTACTCATGTAACTGTTTGACGTGGAACTCGACTAGTTTCAAGCCATGCTTGAGGCTCATATTCATGAGCAGCGCGACAGATACCGCGTCGCGTGTCGTGGAATACTGCTAGTAGGGAACCGCCATTTTGTTTTGTTTTTGTTACATTCACATTTATTTTGTCGAATTTTTATTCATTTGTTTGCACCTATATTATTAATTTAGGACGAATATAAAAAAAAAATACACTTTTTAAAATTTTACAAATAGGTTTAACAATTAATGAAATTCTGTCTCTAGTAAGTATACTTAAAAATAAGTTGTTTATTGAAACTGGCTGTATGAATGCCAAAAAACGAATTAAAAAAGCCACTGAGCGAAGGATCACAATTTCAATTCAAGACCAAAACGATGTTAAAATCTCTCACTTTTCAAAAAAGCACAGAGTCTAGAATAGTACCCGGTATAATAGCGAAAGGCATCTTTTACATAGGCCTTAAAATAATTGTGTTATCTTTTAAAACCAGGTTTATCCTTATATTATGAAATGTATCGGTAGGATTATCTTATGACATCACAATTGAGATTAAGTATGTACCTAAGTCTTATCGAAGGCCAGTATTTATTTTTTTTTTTTAATGGGACATGCCCGCCACAACCTCCCAAAACCGCTGCAACTCCTGTAAGCCAGGATCTACAGTAGATACAACCATGAAAACACCGGAACATTGAAGTCCGGCGCGTCCCAGGGACATGAGTAACTGTCTTGGTTCCCGCAACGAAATGAATCAGAAGATATTATAAGAGGAGAAGAAGAAAAAACTATAATTTCCACTTCCCTCGGTGAATTACTGCAGGAGACAGAATGAATTAAGCCTAAAGGCACAAAGAAGAGACTGTACAACTGGGTGAAGCCCAGTCGCCAAGCACCACGGAAATTTGACTAAAAAACTAAGTGGGTCCTATGTGTGAGCTGTTATACTTGCTTCCAATAATAGGTATGGCAAAAGCGCCTAAACGCACGGAAATTTGTTCTAGATTCCACAAGGTCCGTATAATAAGCTACACCTGATGAAACAATTAAATTATTCAACATAGTGTTACGTTCATATTGCCAGAGATCACACTCCCAGAGTATGTGATGGGCCGACTGCTCGTATCGCAACTCCTCTGACGAACATTGGCACCATGGTGAATCAATAAGTTTAAATGAGAACAATTTGCTTTTAAAGTTGCCGTGGCCAGTAAGAAATTGGGCAACACAGTGATCCACCTCCAACCATGTCCTCTCCAGCCGCTCATGCACGGATGGGAAGAACTGATACAGGTGGCAGGTTTAGGCCAGTATTTAGCGAAACGTCCACTGTTGTAAAGAGGCCAGAATTAATGAGATGATGAGTACTTGTTCCTCCAGTTCTAGATGTATTTAATTTCCACCCATATGTCAGGAGACATTAGAAGTAGTTTTGCATATTTCTTTAGTCTGTTTTCTTGTGCACTTTTTTATTAGTTATAGTTTGAATATTTCACAGAAAAATAAACGTAAGAAACCCTATTATGAGGAGTTATTACACTTATCACACTCATGATCGATGGTTTGCGTGCTCGATAAAGACCCACTGAACCATTCATAAAATAATTCTAATCATCTAATTATAAAAGTACTGCTACCTCATTCTTACTCCTCATAGTGTTCGTCAGTGTATCTTCTGAGTGAGATTGGGTTCGATTCCTTAGCTGGGAAAACATATTTTTGATTTTTGGATTTTTGGATTTTTTTTCGAGAAATTTTCTTTTGATTGCTTAGAATGGTGAGTGTGCGGGGGAATTGCACAACTTGATTCCCCCTAGTCCTTTCCATCATCGTCCCACAAGACAATCGGCGAAGCGTCACCTATTCATGGTAGATGTTTCAAGCTTCCTTGTGCGTACTGCTAAAGAGTGGAATTCTTTGTCAGAGTCTGTATTTCCTGAAGGATATAACCTGGCAGTCTTCAAGGCCCGAGTGAATAGGTTGCTTATGGGACGACGTGCTCCATCGTAGACCGCATCATCGCTTACCACTAGGCGAGATAGTGGTCAAACGTTGCCCCATCAAATATAAAAAAAATCTAGAGTATTTTAAGGTGTATAGTAGCTACCCTTATTACACGAAATTTCTTTTGCTTATCAGCATGAAGGTGCCACGATCGAACGTTTGCGTGTTCCAAAAAGACCCATTGAACCGTTGATGAATTAATTCTTACCATAAGTAGGTAAGCACATTAGTTTTCGTGGCTGCCATGAAAAATAACATTAGGAACGATCCGTCAATACTTTCTAGTGTTTTTATTTTTCCTAATGTTCTTAGGAATCTCGAACGGTAATGCGATTAGAGTGACGTTAGCTGTGTTCTGTTTACAATTTATTTATTTATTCGAATGTAAATGTGGTGGAAATTAAATTGTGGAATATTTATATGAAGTGTTCTTTATGGTAATTGTGTAGCGATGCGTTATGTAAAGTTTCTTTTATTTATTTATTTTTTTTTTATTTATTTACACTTTTTGTAGATATACAACGGCGGACTTAATGCCTAGTGGCATTCTCTAACAGTCAACCTTAGGGTGGTGCAGAGAGATACAATAGTAGGTGTAAACGTTTAACACTTATTAGAGTGACACAATAATTAACATTATCATCATATATAATTATACATATCACACAATATATACTAATTAAATATAATGAAGAAGTATTAAAATATATACGTAATGCAAAACGAACAGTAGACAAATAAGTATGGGACAATATATACCTAAATATACGAAGAAAAATACATAACATAACATATATACATACATAATTATACACATACATATATGTAAATACGTACAAGACCTAAGTGTGTGTTGAGTCTGCTAGCCTCTTCTGTAGATACTCACGAACCTTAAATTTGAAGGACAGACGACTGGTCGCCGTCCTGATATCCGTCGGCATCGCATTCCACAGCAAGATGGATTGGACGAAAAAAGAAGAGTGAAGGAAGTCAGTTCGATGTGTGGGACATTGTAACAGAAGATTATTAGAAGAACGGAGGTATTTGCTATGGTTAGCGCTCACATACTGGAAATATGAGGAAAGATAAGTAGGAGAATTGGGAGAATTAAGAAGGGAGAATAAAGTGGTTAGCGCCCGTTGTTCCCTTTTAGTTGAATGGTTAGGAGTGCAACTGCAACTTTTAAGTTCTCGGAGTAAATCATTATTCAAAATGGAATTTTAACCTTTTTAAATAAATATTTTGTGATAGTTGAGTCAAAATCACAGTAGGGCAAACTATTACTGGATTTAAAAAAAATCTCAGAGTCTGGAATTGTGCCCAGAATATAGCAATGTGCTCACCCCCTACTACATGGGACACATAACATAAAATAGTGAAAAGAAGGTGTTACATAACGGTAAAGTGGCATTAAGTACCGTAATATGCACCTCTGCCTACCCCTTCAGGGATAAAAGGTGTGATGTTATGTGTTATGTTCACTGAAAAAGAAAACGTTCATAGAAAATATTGTTAATATTCCATTTTTTATGGCATCGTTAGTTTTCAGTATGTTCTTAATATACCTTCACACAATATCCATTCCCATTCTGACAAGATCTCAACTTTACCTCTAATGGACTTCAATAAAGTCGTGGGAAACGTAACTGTACCCAAAACTAAGTTTTAATAAGTCCCTCGTAGCCCCTCTAATAAGCTTTTTTTCACCGCGAAGTTGCGGCCCGCAACGCCAACAAAACTCCATCAACTAAGGTGAAGGAACGTACGCGTGCAGGAACTGCTCTGCGGCTTAAGAACCCACTGTTATAAGACAGGAACAAACAGAATTACAAACAAGAACTCACTGTACACACCCGAAAATGCTATTCAAAAACTTTTATGACTGATGACCCAAGTCTCGGATTACATAGCTTCACCAAACAGTCATAGACTTTGACAGTCTCAACTCGAATGTTGACATAAACTTCGACTACCAAATCACGTCTCCATTTATTTGAAGTCGACCTACTGTATATTCGGGTGCTGTAGTACGCGGAAACAGCGGGCGAGGGTGAGGGGCGGGGCGTCGTTTGGTCGCGACGTTCAGTCGGGCGCCGGCCTCGTGCAGCGCCGGTCGCCGCCACATACGCGGCATGCGGCCCGCGCTCGCCGCGATCGCGGCTTGCTGCGTGGTAGCACGCGCCGAGCCGTCTGCGCGCCTCGCTCCGCGCAACACTACCCCCCACCATGTCCTCTCATGTTCGGATGGACTGGTGCTCCCTGCTTGGCAGCCTCTCGAGGATGTGCCAACCTATGAGATCGCCTTCCGAGGTGTTGTCTACTTTCTTTGCCTCATGTACCTCTTCATCGGAGTTTCCATCGTCTCCGATAGATTTATGGCCGCCATAGAAGTTATAACATCGAGAGAGAAAGAGGTGCGCGTGCGACGCAACGGCAGCGAACAGATTGTTGTCGTTAGAGTATGGAATGAGACCGTCGCTAATTTAACTTTGATGGCGTTAGGATCTAGTGCACCTGAGATCTTATTATCTGTAATTGAAATAGCTGGGAAGAATTTTGAGGCTGGAGACTTAGGGCCCGGTACTATCGTGGGGTCGGCGGCGTATAACTTGTTTGTGATCATAGCCATCTGTGTTGTGGTGATACCAGATGGCGAAGTTAGAAAGATAAAACATCTGAGAGTGTTTCTTGTGACAGCAACGTGGTCCATCTTCGCGTATGTGTGGTTGTATCTCATACTGGCTGTCATCTCACCCAATGAAGTGGAAGTCTGGGAAGGATTTGTTACTTTTCTCTTCTTTCCGGCGACGGTTTTAACAGCTTACATTGCTGACCGTCGCTTACTTATGTATAAATATCTAAAGAAAGGCTACAGAGTGAATGAAAGAGGAGTAATTGTGGAAGCTGAAGGCGATGGCTCCGTCGAAATGGCTTTGAAACCGGGAGGAGAAGATTTCTTATCTGAAGATGAAGAAGGAAGAGAACAAGAAAAATCAAGAAGAGAATATGTAACAGTACTAAGAGAATTAAGAAGACAACATCCTGAAGAAGATTTAGAAACTGTAGAAAGGATGGCATTAGAAACATTGATGGCTCGAGGTCCCAAGTCAAGAGCGTTTTATCGAGTGGCAGCAACTCGTAAAATGACAGGTGGAGGGGATTTCTCAAGAAAAATATCTGAACGAGCTCAAAGTGATCTTAGCGAAGTTAAAGCAGAGTTACAGCGGCGAGAGTCTGGCTCCTTATCCCTTGAGCCTCGTGGTCCCAATGTCAGATTTGATCCAGACCACTACACCGTCATGGAAAACTGCGGGACATTTGAAGTGAGAGTTGTAAGAGCAGGGGATTTGAACGGAGAAGTAACAGTTCAGTATACCACTGAAGATGGAACAGCAGAAGCAGGATCAGACTATGTCGCAGCCCAAGGATCTTTGATCTTCAGGCATGGGGAGACAGAGAAAACCTTCAGCGTTCAAGTGATTGATGATGACGTTTTTGAGGAAGACGAGCATTTCTATGTGCGGCTAACATCTCCTCGAGGGGCCTGTCTTGCATCTCCTTCTACGGCTACAGTAGTGATATTAGATGATGATCATTCGGGTGTGTTCTCTTTCCCGCAACGGGACTTTGAGCTGACGGAGTCGGTGGGAACTTACGACTTGAGGGTCGTGAGGACAGCTGGTGCCCGCGGCAAGGTCAGGGTGCCATACTGGACGGAAGACGGCACCGCCAAGAACGGTGCTCAGTACGAGTCAGCGCAAGGCAGCGTCATCTTCGAAAACAACGAAACTGAGTGAGTACATTAGTTATTAACAAAAATTAATAGGTTACAGAGTTAGTTATGGAGTGAATTTCTTTTACTTTAAAGCACATTTTTGTTCTAGGCAAAAAAGATTCTTTTTTCCGTACGATATTGAGTCGGTCATTCGAACTAAAATAACTGAACATCATCGATTGAGTTAAAGAATTAAAGCCGGTACGTGTTTGCCTCGAATTAGCGCGTTCCGCACCCCACACTTTGTGGGTGTCGGAATGTAAGCCTGCCACTAAATACTTTAACGTGTTTCATGTAATATTAAATTGGATATGTAAGTAGATTTTACTTAAACATTAAGCGTTTTAGATATGGATATGGTAGTTTAACTTTGATAAATAGCTGATTCTATGATTTTCAGTTAATAAGAAATGATTTATAACGTAAATTATTAATGACTCAGTGATGACTGTCCCGTGTTCCTAATAAACGAAATTGACAAATGAGTGGAAATTTCGTAATTTTCGGCAATTAGTGTAATAACGTTTTCCGTTTTCGGCTGGATTCTTGGACGAAAGAAATATTAACGAGGGTCGCATTCCGGGTAATTACTTGGATGCGGAAGTCGAAGTAAGCAGTTCTTGTGCTTGATGTGCAGTACCGAAAAAATGACGTTGTAAGGTTTCTGTGAAGCCGTGTGAGTGCCAAATGAGGTATAGATTGGACGGCGCGATTAGTGCCGGGTCGTTGCGTGATCCGATGGCCGCTGCTCGTCAATGTTATTCTGAAATAATCCCTTTTAGATAATCCCTCGGTCTCGTCACCTCTGCTATCTTGTAGGGCAAATGTTTTTATAACTTGCCACAAAATTTTGTCCTTTGGTGTTTGGGTCTTTAGTAGGATCTCATCGAGTACTGACATAATTTTAAGATGAAAATTAAAGTAAACCGTAAATATAAGTTGATTTCATAATGTTTTTTACATGATAGAGCAAATGTATGTAGGTCATAATCTTTGATATAATATTGAAGTTGCTATACATCAGACTCTAACCTATTTTAGTCGCTAGGCTGAAGAAAAAATTAGCAGACAATATAATTGAAATGGAATAGTCTAGGATATGTATCGGGTCTAGATACAAAAGTGTTTTTTAGTTATATTAAATTACCTTAAATTTTATATAAATCACTTTATATAAATTACCTTAAGTTTTATTTTTCATCACGTAAATACTTTTATTCCTTTATTATCCCTCTATTACCTTTATCCTCTTATCACTTATAATGTTACTGTAATTGTTATTAAGCCTCCTGTTCTGTAACCACTATTCGTACCAGAAATATAAAGGGATGGTAACAGGAGACAGAGCTTCATGTATTTAGATGTTGGTATATGAATAAAGAATACATGGTGCATTTAAATTTTTTCGAAATCACCTAATACTAGATTTTATGTGTCTAACTAAGAGCATTATTCGTGCAACTGAATAGAAGCTGCGACACATTCCATAGCAGTCGGCCGCTTAGCGACTGCGCCAACCGTGCGGGCAAGGGCAATTCTTACTGATTCCTTTGTCTAATACATAATTATATAATTTTTAGTTCTCATATTACATTGTAAGCCGCTTGTATGTAATTAGTCAGTACTTGTAGGCGTCTAGGGGTCGCCGTGTCTTAGACGGGTCACCCACTAGTATTGGTTATGGTATCTGTAATAGTGTTTCTTTTATATAGGTGAAGTGGAGCTTTAAGAAGGAAGTCTTCCTAGTTATGTCATACACAGATAAATGTATAACTTTAGATTTTTGTAATAAAGTCGGTATTTCTGAAATATATTCAAAAACATAACATAAGGTCCACATTATGCCACTTCGCAATGTAACACCCACTTTTCACTATTAATGTTATGAGTCCCATGTAATAGGGTGTGAGCCTAGGCACAATTCCTGACTCCGTGCTTCTACTGAGATTTTTACAAACCCAGTAATACTTTGTCCAATCCGGGAATCGAACCCGAGACCCATTGCCGTCGCACTTGCGATCACTGGGCCAATGAGGCAGTCATTGAATAAAAATTCTAAAATATATTAGTATTCAATACCTACTTTATAAATGACTTATCTATTATGTAAATTAGGTCTTGAATGCAATTTTCCTTCCATCCTTTCAGTAATAATTCTTTCTTAGTTTTCATTATAATACATTAATGTAATCATGTTTGTCTAATTTATTAAACACAAAATCGGTGTACAAACAATATTGAAATTGTGGCAATAAAGAAATAGGAAAATGCTCTGAAACTTTAATTAATCTTCGCTGAAATACCTATAACAGTTCAGCGGAAACATAAGACCAGAAATTCATGTGATCTAAATCGTGATACTCTATTTAGTTACACAGACTCAGGTTCGATTTCTAGACACGTTCGTTACATATATTTCAGAAATACATACTACGATCGTGAAGGCTCTTGGAACACTTGAGCGAACAGCAAATGTTTTTGTATAATTTAACACTATTCTTGCTGTATCATACTCCTTTAATTAAGTTAGGAAATTAGTATTTTCGATTTCTGTAAGGGGGGGGGGGCTAATTATAAAATACACATTATTTTAATGTTACATTTTCTTTTTGTAATCACTACATAGTATAAAACAAAGTCGCTGTCCGCCGTCTGTCTGTCCCTATGTATGCTTAGATCTTTAAAACTACGCAACGGATTTTTATTTTGATAGATAGAGTGAATCTTCAGGAAGGTTTATACGTATAATACATGTTTATTGCACCCGTGCATAGCCGGGGCGGGTCGCTAGTTTATTATAAAACGGTGCATTCTTCATTTTGCTAGTAATAGGCTCCCCTATAATATGGGACTCATAACATAAATAGTGAAAAGTGGGTGTTACATTGTACAGTGGCATTAAGTGCCGTAATGTTCACACCTCTGCTTACCCTTTCGAGGATGAAAGGCGTCATGTTAATACCTTACCACGCTATCAAGCAAAAATATTAAAATTTTGTGATTTAGCTGTTGTTTAATAGGTAAACAAAAGTGATTCAAATATTTATTAGGCTACATAATAGACAACATGTCTGCTAATACCGTTGATTGATTACCACTGATAGCTATCAGACTACAAGTAGGTACAATTATTTAGAGCAAAATGGATGATCGTAGATTAATATCGGGGAAATAAACGATCACAGAATAATAGACTAGTGTTTTTGTTTTAGCATTATGTTTATATTTTTTCCCTCTTTCTTATTTAAAAACGTTGCCCCACAGTTTTTTTTAAGGGGGGCAAATTCCTCGAATGACTGCTCCCGCCTGAGTGAGGCGGTAGGGAGTGTCAGATTCTTACTGGCTAAAAACCACCCCGTTCCTACTCCTGTCCTTCGAGCCGGGGCCCCGGCAACCCGTTAAGTCCTACGCGGCGTTGCCCCACACTAGGATTTTCTCCTGTGTCGTGGGTTCGTTTACAAACATACAAGTTCCCATACACATCACACCCAGACACGAAACAACAATTTGTGGTTCACACAAAGAGTTGCTCCGTGCGGGGATCGAACCCGCTGCACGTTGCGCGGCAGCTGGTTGCCCAGCCACCGCGTAACTAATGAAAAGTGGGTCACCTAATATTCCACCTACTTTAGGGTATAACAGTGCAAAGTGAGTGCAATATAAGGTACATCTAACCCTGAAGGGAATAAAAATATATTATATTACAAATGTGTATATGTAAAAATATAATTTATATTATATGTCGTGGTAGCCCGCAGGTTTAAGACGGGCGGCTTATCACGTATAAGGGCGCGGGGTCGTAACCTACCACCACCGGTAAGTACCAATGTGACTTTTTTCGAGTTATATGTACTTTCTAAGCTTATTTAGACACCACTGACAAACGGTGAAATAATAATATCGTGAGGAAACCTAAGCTTATAATTCGTATTATTATAAGTTTGAAATCCCCAACCCGCATTGACCAAGCGTGGTGATTAATGCTCAAACCTTCTCCGTGTGAGAAGAGGCCTTTGGTAAGCAGTGGTCACTCATAGGCTGTCGATGTGATGTGATATTAAAAAGTTTTCTACTGCTAAATTGCTACCGCAAAGATTGGCGATATATTAAAAAAGGGCCAAATTAAAAGTACCCTTAACCGACGAACATGCATGAAAAGACGACTATCGATGAAGCGAAAGAGGTATGTAAGAATCTTAGCAATCTGCGTTCCATAGTCTCTGTCTACCCTTATGAGAGACAAACATGAAGTTATATATTATGTATGTCTATCGCTAAAAGGTATATTCGCCATAAAAAGTTTGAACAAGTGAATTGAAATCTAATGTCTTGGAAATCAAGGTATTTTTTTGCTTCACCATTTTTGCTGACTCAACCGTGTCAGCATAGGTCTTAATGTTCGAATCGTTCAATGCTATCGGGAATTAGATATAAAAAATGGTGATTTACGATCCTAATTTCCAGTTTTTGTGAAATAAAATTTCCCTATCTCTCTTGCAAGGTTTTGTAATACCTGAGTTACATTGAAGTCTTTGCTGGTAAACGTTTCTTTTCTGTGGTGGGTAAGCTATATTATGTGATTATTGAGCTCTTGTTAAACTAAAAATCGCGAGTTACTCACGTGAATATACTGAGAAAAGTTCTACTAGTTTCGAACCACAGACAGACAGTGGGCTGCGCGACATCGCCTCGACCGCGCACGCTGCTTATGAAGAAGAACCCCTCTGTGATTCGAAACTAGTAGATCTTTTCTCAGTATATATATTTTTTTATGGCATAAGCCGGTAAACGAGCAGACGGATCACCTGATGGAAAGCAATCGGCGTTGCCCATGGACACCTGGAACAACAGAGGCGTTACAAGTGCGTTACTCGTCATTTCGGGATTAGGAGTTTGAGGATCGTTGGGGATTCAGGGATAGGGGAGATTGGGGAAGGGGAGGGTAATTGGGCCTCCGGTAACCTCACTCACAGGACGAAACACAACGCAAGCGTTGCTTCACGTCGGTTTTCTGTGAG